CAGCGCCCATGGCTGCTCCGGCCGGCCCGGGCCGCTCCGCCGCGCCTCCCTCCCTCCCTCCCTCCCCCCCTGCTCCCCGAGCCTCGGTCTTTTCTCTGGCTCTGCCCGAGCGGCGGCTGCCCGACACCGAGCGGCTGCCCTTCTCGCCGCCGCCGCTGGGGGACTGGCACCGCTGGGTCCTAAAGGGATCGGATTTCCGGGGCCGGAGCCTTTGAGCCCTCCCCTTCCCCTGCAACTCGACGTCTCGCCTCGCCCGCGCCGCGAGCCTGCCTTCCGCCACCCTCGGGCTCCTAGCCAATCCTCTTCGGCCCTTCCGTCCCTGCGTCGGCCCGGGGGTTATCAACCATGCACATAGATAGGTACTCCCCCGTTTCATTTTGGGGCGCAGGAGTCCAGTCTGCGTGGGGGGGGGTGTCTCTCAGTGCTGCCCCTCTCCTCCCCCCAAAGTGGCGGGGCTTCCGTCGAAAGGGACCAAGCATCACTTCCTTCGAGGGCCCTATAGCTCCTGAGTGGGCTTCCGGCCTGTTGATGTCAGAAACGTGTTGTGAAAATACAGATTTCTAGGCCTTCTTCCGAACCTTGAGCCGGCGAGTGTCAGGGGAGGGACTCGGGAATCTGCATTTTAACAATTTCCCTTAAGGGGAATCTTTTGTGTCTTTGTAGGTGGAAATACTCTGGGGCTCGGTACTAGTGACTTTGCTGTGGTGAAGGCGGAGGAATGAATTCAAAGGGGGTAGCCCTACCACCCAAATAGCGAGAGAGTCCCAAAATTGCCCTTTGAAGTCTAAAAAGAACGTCGTGGGGCCTGCCTGTTCCGAACCCCAGGCTAGAGGGAATGGAATCCTGGTCTTCTTGCCCTGCCAGGATAATCTGGCCTCTCAAACAGGAAGAAGGAGTTTTGGAGGAATTCTAGAGGCTTGGGGCCAAAGTTTCCCCATTGAGAGCTCCAACTTGGGTCACCGATTTAAAGGATCCTGGTCACTGAGTACAAGTGTGGAGGGGGGTGGGTAGGGAATGTGAGTGTGACCTACACATCCCAGTCCTGACAACCCCAAAAGCTGCCTTGAAGCGTTCTCCTTCCTCATCTATACCATAAGAAGCCTGAGGGTTTCCCTTTATCCCACCCTAACTGCTTGGGCCCTGGGGGGGTGAAGGTCTATCCTCTAGGTCAGGTTCTAACGTATCTCTCCAGGTCAGCAGAATACAGAAACTGATGAATACGGTGCACACTAGGACCCAGAGAACAACTCAGGCACAAAGCCTCCCCCCCCCCCCCCCCACACACAGCTGCTTCCTGCTTCTCAGGCCTTCCTGCGGCCTCTGCCTCCTCCCTCGCCCCCTTCCTTTCCATCCTCCTCCTCCTCTTCCCAATTTCCATTCTCCCTGGCCGAGGAAGGGTGCTCTCCTACCCTTCCATTGTAAAGAGGGGGGTACATGTGGGTTTTGTAGGATACTAACCCATCAGCACGTGCAAAAGAGCTCCCTGTGTGGGGGATGGGTGTGGAAGCCGCCAGGGAGCCCGGGATACTGGGGTGAGGAGGTGCCAGGAACCACAGTACTGGATCCCCAGCCTGGTGGTGCCAGAGGGAGGAAGATTTGAATTCCTAAGGGACTCCTCTTCACCCACCTACGTCTTTACCCCAAGGCCCAGAAGACTCCCCCTTCCCAATGTTGCTCCGCTGTTGGGGGCTGAGTACAAAAGCCATCCTCCCTGACTTCCTGGTCTCACTTGTAAATGGGCTCGGGACTTGGCTATTAATCTCAAATTTGGGGTTTGAACCCTCACCCCCCTATGGCCAAATTTTGAGGAAGCCTGAAAGCTGATCCCATTGGAGGTTGGGGATTTGGGCAGTGTCCCCAACAGCTCCTTTCTGGGTTGGAGGAGGGTACAGGCCCCTGGGTGTTCTGCCCAGAATCTCCCACACCCTTTGTGGTGAGTCATCCTAACTGGTCCCAGCCCAAGGGGTCTGTGCCCACGCTTCTGGCCAGGTGGGGCAGCCCCCAGGTTTTGAAAGTGGGAGGAGGAGCTGAGAACCAGCTGTCAAGCCCAGAGACCCTCCATGGCCCATCCATCCCTCTGACAGAATCTCTAGAGTGAACTAGCATCCTGGTAATGCTCGGGTCTCCTTTGCCTGTGCAGTATTTCCAAGGGTGAAACCCCGTTAAGGGCTTTGTCGTGCGAGCCTGTGGCACTATCCAGAGTTTGGATGACATTAATGAGTGGGATTATTATTTCATGGGCTTCACCCAGGCTGGAATTTCCCAAGGAAGCTTTCAGGGAGAGATAAGTGCTTTACCATCACTCTTTCCTTGGAGTCAGCTGCCAAGTGGCTGCCTTGTGAGATGGCTGGGGCACAGTGTGAAGTGCCACCTCCTGCCAGCCTGGAGGAACGAACCTACCTGCCAGGAGGGAGCTCCACTGGGAGGGTCACCATCTGAACTCAAGGCTTGAATGTAATTTCATTCTCTCTAGCTCAGGATAACAGCCTATAAACACGCATACCCCTTCTCTCCAGAGTCCTTTGTGGAAATTCCTTCCTTTCCTTTGCCCTGGCTTACATTCTACTAGTAGAGACTATGGCATATTCTCAAGGTTGACCCAGGAGCCAGGCTTCTAGGGTTCACATCTTGGCTTGATCTCTTAACTAGCTGTGTGACCTTAATCATGTCACTTACCCTTATTGTGCTCTGAGAAGATAAACTGAGGCCCAGGAGAGATAATAGTGACTTTAACCTAGACACGTGGGTATGGGAAGAAATGCTTTCCCAGCATTCACCCGAAGATAGAGGCTGCAATGGACAGATAATCCATCCCAGCTCCTTCTCAGCAAAGCATCTCCCTGTTTTCCCATACCTCCTATCTGAGGAGGGCCTGCTGAGATGGTGCTCTCTTAAGACTATTCCTCCAAACACAAGGTGTAACAGCAAAGGTAGTGATGAGGGCAGGGAAGACCTGGTATATGACAGGTTCTGAGCCTTTAGTGCCCTGGGCTCAAACCCAGGCTGGGTGCCAAGGGTGGATGTTCTTCCTAGCCCAAGGCCTTGAGACAGCTCCAGAAAGTAGTCAAGTCCTGGCCACAGTCCTCATAGTATAGGGTGGTCTTGGACACTGCCTTTCAGCCATGTGGTAAGCAAGTAGTCCTTGTCCCAGTTCCTTCCCTCTGTCTGCCAGGGTGCCTTGGGCTGGCTCTAAGATACTGGGCATTTTAAATGCTTAGGTGTGCACATGTATAAGAGAGCTCAGCCCCAGCACAGCAGTTTTAGAGGGGCCCTTAGAGGCCCTTGGCTGACTGCCTTCAGAGAGAAATGAGGTCTAAGCAATAGCTTATCCAGATTTACAGACCAAGCTAGGGGGCCTGGAGGCTTGAATCCAGTCCTAAGTTCCACTCACTTGCTGGATGACCTTGGCTAGGCATTTCCTATCCCTAAGCCTCAATTCCTAAACCTGTTCAACTTGATGGTCTGAGCTTGTTTCTGAGCATGGATGATCCTTGGTGTTCTCTACTCTGTATGGAGCAGAGTAGAGCTTTGAAGCCAGACCATTTTTTGTTCAACTTCCCAAGCTGATTAGTTTTGTTTTTGTGCAGTCCTAGGGCTTGAATTCAGGGCCTGGATGCTGTCTCTTAGTCTTTGTTGCTCAAGCCTGGTGTACTACCACTTGAGCCACACCTCTACTTCCAGCTTCTTGGAGGTTAGTTGGAGCTAAGAGTCTTACAGACTTTACTGCACAGGCTATGATCTTCAGCAATCAGTCTCCTAAGCAGCTAAGGTTACAGGTATAAGCCCACCGGCACCCGGTTTAGTGTGAGCTTTAAATGGATTCTAAATGCACAGAGGAGTTTGTTGGAGGGTTGGCTGTTAACTGATCACACGTATATGTGAGTGTGTATGTGTATACATGCGTGGGTAGGTGTGGCTGAGAATGAGCATTGGTGTCTAGATCTCAAAGTTGGTCTGCATGGGACTTTGGGTCTGGTTCCCTTTTAAGGTCTATAATATGAAATTCTGAAATAATAAGCACTTCCTGC